CGCAGTTCCAGTTCAAGCAGCTCTTCTGGCTCTCCCAGTCCTTCTCGACGGAGACATGACAACAGGAGACGGTCCCGCTCCAAGTGAGTCTTATTTGTCTTCTAGGAATTGCCAGATGTCACGTTAATTCCATGTAGAATGCAAGATTGTGATCAGAACAGATTGTTCTCTGAAGACCATTTGCTTTCTTTGTAACTTAGAGATGTGAATTTTGTTAAATGTGTGTGCTCTGTTTCCTTAGAATCCAACATACACCCTGTAGAAACAGAGATTAAAAACCTAAGTTCTAATAGTTTAAAAATTTTAAATACTACATTTTTTAGAGGCGGTTTTAATCAGTGTTTCCTTAGTAGCATGGGTCTAGATCAGAGTAAAGCTGTTCAATTCCTGTAAACTACAGCCATGACTAACAGAAAAGTTAGGGCTAAAACCAGCATATATGTGTACATATGTATATTTATATTCTTATTTATAAAAAGTAAAATAGGAAGGAGGGCAGAGGAAGCTCCTGTAAGGGTAACATGGGGAATTAAGGTATCTTAATGTCTGTACAGTTTTTCCTTTGTGTAAGGCGATGAAGGCTGATAAAAATCTGCGTAAGGCTGTGTGGGTTTTTTGTGTCATTCAATTTATGGACTTTAAGATTAGGAAGAAGCATAAAGATAAATTTTCTACATACTGGTTTTGTTAGTTTTTTTATTTTACAGATTGAAGTTTCATTCCAGTTGGTTTTTTTAACTGCAAAGGCATTGTGATATGCAGCTAATTTTAAAAAGATTTGTTTACATTTTTGGATCTCTGTAGTGAGTGGAAGATACAGAAACACAAATTATTGAATCTGTTCATTTGCCTGGTTGTGGTATGCTGTTATCTTTATGGCCTTATTTTGCCTCTTTAGTTCTTGAGGCAAAGAATGTTTTTGCGTTTACAACTGGGAAATGCTTTATCTATGACCACAACTTCATAGAAGTGCTTGCTAGATTTTGTGTTTGTTACCTAGCTGCAGTGAAGTTGAAAAGTTGCAAAAAAAAAAAAGTTCTAAAATTTCAAAAGGTTTGAAAGCAAAAGCAGACAAGACAAATGCAAGTTCTGAGGTGTTTCTGAGTGGAACACCCCCACCACCACCCCAACACTGTAACTTCTTCAGGACAAAGATGCCCTTCAATAAAAATGGTATTTTTAATCTTGTGATAATGACTGGCTTTGGTTAAGTCGTGCATGTTCCCTGAAAACTGTAAATGTTTACTGTTGTCCAAATCAGGTCCAAACCACCCAAGAGAGATGAAAAAGAGCGGAAGAGGCGGAGCCCATCACCCAGACCCACAAAAGTGCATGTTGGAAGGCTCACTAGAAATGTGACAAAGGTAATAATGGCATGTACCCTTGCAGTCAAGCATTCATGTTCTTCTGTGAGAATGTGTGAGTTGCTCTTTCAAAGCTTTCTGAACCTTGGTTACTAGGGAGTTGCCAAGGTGTTGCTGTTGGATATTGTTTCTTTGTGTCCAGGTTGATCAGTGAGGAAAATTTTCATATGATTTTACTGAGTCAAATACTATGAAGCCTTCTGAAAAACTGTAGTGCCTAAGAAGTCTGCCTGTTTTGTCAGTATTCCAGACCTTATATCCTGCTTTACTCGGAAGAAAATGTTAGAATTTGGGACAACAGCTGAAATTACCTTGGAGGCATAAAGGATATTGGGCAGTTCTTGATAAAGGATCTGCAGAGAGCCGGGCTGGCTTGAGTTGTCTTTGCTAGAATGTAGTTTAAAGGTCTTCAGGGGTAAAACGTTTAGGCTGCTGAAAAAATGATGTGCTGTGGATTTACTGCTCTGTGCCAGCCAGACCTGGCTGGTGAGTGCTCTGTATTCATAAGGCTCGGTCTCTCTCTGCAGGATCACATCATGGAAATTTTTTCCACTTACGGAAAGATTAAAATGATTGACATGCCAGTTGACAGGCTAAACCCACACCTCTCCAAAGGTTATGCTTATGTGGAGTTTGAAAACCCAGATGATGCTGAGAAAGCCCTGAAACACATGGATGGAGGTAGGTACTGACCTGCAAGGAGCCTGTGAGCTTTAAAAAAGCTTCAGAGTAGATGGATTTGATCAGAAAATGAGTTAGAGGTGATAGGGATGTCTTTGGTGAACAGATGTAAAGTACTGTCAGTTTTCAGCCCAAATGACTTTTGTGAGGTTCTGGACAGATCCAAGAAATCACAGAACTATTAAATCTTTTTTTCAAAGCAGTGAAAAAAACAACTTTAAGCTTCTGTGGAAACCTTCCCAGGTTTACGTCTGAGCTGCAGTTTGGTGGGATTAGATAAAGAAGTCTAGTAGGTGTGTCAGAATAGCCCCTGAGCAGGGTGTGGAGCTCCGTGGGCTGATCCCACTTCAGTTGCTTGTGACAAAGCAGTGAGTTGCAGTAATATGAAGTGTATGTGTTAATGTTGAAAAATACTTACTTCCTATTTCTGTGATGCTCTAAAAAGGCCAGATTGACGGTCAGGAGATCACAGCCACAGCTGTGCTGGCACCGCGGCCTCGACCACCTCCCAGACGCTTCAGCCCCCCCAGGAGGATGCTGCCACCGCCGCCGATGTGGCGCAGGTCCCCCCCTCGCATGAGGAGGAGGTGAGAGCTGGGAGAAGGCTTTTCTTTCTCAGTAGCGACTCGTTATTGCTGAAAGACTTGGCATGGGGACAATCCGCTTTCTGCTGCCAAGTGACAGTAACTCATTTTGGGCATTGGTTGAACCTGGGTTGCAGTTCCTAACTCGTTAGCTCCAGGGTGCCTGCTCTGGTCTGCACCCTGAGCACAGTCTCTGGGAAAGGTGTCATCCTTCCCAGCCTGAGTGCCTTCTGCATAAAGGCTTCAAGATGAAGTGGGAACAGACTTTGGCTGATAGAACACTTGTGGCAGGCTGTGCCAGCTTCTTGTATTTTGGAAGCCCTTGTACTTCCCTCCCTTATTTCTGAATGGGCACATGACCAAAAAGCAGTCCTGTGTCAGGTGAGTGGAGCACACTGGCCCCAAGGTGTGATCTGACAGTTGTGCAACTTGGAGCTGCCTGATTGTGCCCAGGTAAGTTCTGAGTCTTTGGTGTTTACATGTCTTCAAAATATCTTACTTGTCAGTAGTAATTTGATTACTGAACAGCTTTCAGCCACAGGTTTAAAAATGAGTGGTACTTACTGTGGCACAGGATCCAGGAGGATCCAGGGGGCTTCTTGGTGCTCCTTTAAATATACCTTTTGCTGAGATCTCACAGATGCAGGTTTGCCTCCTTTGTTATCTTTTCTACTCCACCTTTAACTGTCCTGTTAGCTCTGCTAGTATGCTGTGCCTGGAACCTCTGTGTCATAGCAGTAGCTGTACTGATGTGACTGTTGGTTGTAGTACTGAGAAACTTGAAGCTATGCTACTTCTGGAGTAAGCTTCCTCTAAGGAGCTTCCTTGTAATTTGAAAGGATTTGGATAAATCCTTGCCCTGAATATCACTCTTTCAGGAGTCAAAGATGACTTCAGGTGAAGGAGGATCTGATGTAGTATCTGAGCTCATTTTCCTTGAGGAAGAAGATAAGTTTCTTGTCTGTTGTTCAGGTATTAGTCATTTTTTCCAATTCCTTAAGCAGAGCGAGGATAGCCAGAATAATCCTGCTGTGTCCTCTATGGAGCTGTGTTTTGCTCAAGCTCTTTTCCCATGGTGTGTGAGCGATTTTGGCAGGAAGCAGGGAAGTGTTTTTAAAAAGTTGGTAGCTGAGCTGACCAATTACTTGAACCTGTTGCTTGTCTCCTAACGGAAACTTTCTCCTGCCCTGCCAGGTCCCGCTCTCCTCGGCGCAGGTCCCCTGTTCGCCGGCGATCCCGATCCCGGTCTCCTGGGCGAAGGCGCCATCGCAGCCGCTCCAGCTCCAACTCCTCAAGATAAAGCAAAAGGACTGGACAGCTTTTTACTTTTTAACTTAAATCCCATCAGATGGAATATTGTACCTTTTTTTTATAATGAGTCTGGGTGAGGAGGAATGAGAGATAATCCTGGCAGTGAAGGCAATGTAAGAGGAGAGAACACCAGTTCCTGGCCAGTAACCTTTACTGTGAGGCTTCTGGATTCCTGGCATTGAATTGAAATTATTTAAAAATGGCTTTGATTTTAAAGGCTGAAGAAACATCTTTTCCAGACAGAGGGAGGGAAAGATGTTTCAGCCTCTCTTTCTCCAGTTAGCAGCTGCTGCTTGGTGATTGTAAACGTTTAGCACGCTGTACAGACCAGCATGTAAATCTTGAGCTAGTTCAGAACCCTAGTGAGTAAGACAGTGAGCCACATATCTTGATCTCCAGGTGCCAGCACAGGATTTTATCAGGGCAGCTGGAGCCCAGACCTGCCTGAGACTTAGTTCAATTCAGAATTGTTACTTTATTCCAGTTCCCCCGGATGGTTAGTTTCTGCAGAGTAAGCTCTTCTGTAATGCTGACACCAGGCAATCACCACAGAAACAATGGTCCAGCCCAGTGAACATGACACTGTAGAGAAGAAGTTGGAATGCCTAAGAAATGTTCTGTAGCTGCCCTCTTAAGTGATTTCTTTCACCTTTTCGTTGAGCGTATTGGTAAAAACTTCCTACTCAGCCCACAGTGAAATAGTGTGAGTGCTTTTACAAATCCCAAATGAGCAACTGAGCACCAACCCCTTGGAAACTGCAAAGCAGAGAGGGAGGCTTGAAGCCATTATGCTGGCTGGATTAACTGGGGTTCACGCAGGGAAAAGCAAAGAATTTACCACCTGTTGTACAGTCAGTACTATACAGATTTTTTTTGTTTGTTTGTTTTGTATAACTTTGTATCCTTTCGGGCCATGTTGTGTTTGTACTTGTGTAGGACAAGCAGTTACTGAATAAAGCAGTAGGGTTGAGAACGGCTGTGCTGCCTCGCGGTGTGCGGGGCGGGGCCGCGCGGGGCGGGGCCTGCCTAAGGGGCGGGGCTCGGCCCCCTTCCGTGCGCTCGCACCGCCCATTGGCTGTCGCGCGGGGCAGGCGGAAGCGGGGCCGCCGCGAGCTCCCTTCAGCGTGATGGCGTCGGCACTGGCGCCGCCGGGGCCGGGACTCGCTCTCGACAAGGGGCTGGAGCTCGTCCTGCGGGAGGCCGTGGCGGCTCTGGGCCGGCCTGGGGAAGGGTTGGTGGCGGCGCTGGGCGCGGTACGCGCCGCTCTGGCGGCAGCGGGCGGCCCGGCCGCCCTCGGGGAGCGGGAGCGGGCGCTGTTCGGCGCCTTCCTGCGCAGACTGGTCCGGGCGCCTGGCGCGGCGCGGCCCGAGGGCCTGTGGCAGCGCTGCTTCCTGGAGGGCCCGCCCGGCCTCGTGTTCTGCGTCTTGCTGGAGGCCCTTGGCTCTGCGGGGTCAGTCCGGGTCCCCGGGGCAGGCGGGCGGGGATCCCCTGGGCTGGTCTCAGCGCGCAGCAGGGTGTCTGGGGGTGCTTTCAGCTGGGCCGAAGTGCGCAGCGGGACGGAGATGTGTGTGGGCGCGGGCAGCCCTTACCCCGCCCTGAGTGCCTTCAGACCACACACGGTGCTGTGCGTCCCGCAGACACAGAGCTCTGTCAGCCGTGGTTGTTGAAGGTCCTGAATGCTTGGAGCCGAGGAAGCTGCAGATAAAAAGATACTAAAATGGCTGGGGTTTATTTTTGTTTGTTTTAAACCCAGAGTAGCAGAGCAGAGGCATTTCAGTAGTGATACCACAATAGAGAAGTAGTAGCATGCAAATCTTATTTTTACCATTTAAAAGAGCCAGGAACTTACAGTTATTTTCTTCCAGCTCTGGCCTTGACCCGAGGGAGGTAGTTGGGGTCCTGGAGCAGTTCCTGCAGCAGGGCCGGCTGTCAGCATTACTGTGGGAGGTGTGTCAGCCGCAGGCACAGGCAGGCTGCCTGGAGCTGCAGGGCACCCTGCTCAACACGATCGTCTGTTTGCCCGAGCATGTGAGCAATAAACTTCAGGGGAAAAACCCACCAGTGTTCTTCCCACAGAACTACTTCCCTCTCCTGGGTGATGCAGTTCTCCAGGTGCTAGAGAAGATCTCTGACTCTCTGCGGGGTAAGGCTGCAAGGATGACTGTGCTGTAAGGTCTCTTTTTCTGAAGAAGTGTTTTGAGCGTGGACCCCATGGCTGCTGCTTGAAATACAGATGATAACTGAGGCCTTTTGGAATCCACCAAAAGCCTGTCTTCCAAACAATTAATCATCTGTTGCTAAAGCTTTGTTGTGGAGGCTTGGTGTGTGCTGAAGGAATTGTTTGGGAGATATGAGTGGTACTGAATCAACCAGTGGCATTGCTACCCATGCCATCACATTAAAGCGGGACTGAGTTGCTTTAGCCTTCTGCCTGTCACTGTAACTAATACTGAATGGTGGTTTATGCATGAAGGCAGGTAGTGGAGGGAGGAAGAGATGATGCTTGAAGAGAAAAAGTCAATGTGTTTTCAGAACTCAGCACTTTTGGAAGTCTCTGCACCTCCTGCTGAAGGTTGGTTGGAGGATGCTGGTGCCAAGCTTACTTAAGCTCATGTCTGTTTTGTCCCAGGTGGCTTGGACTGCTCCATCTCTTTTGTTTCTCATGTCCTGGGGAAGGTGTGCGTTCATGGACGGCAAAGTGAGTGTTTTACTGTGTTCTTTTGGAGAGGGGGAATGTGTTTTAGTGTATTAGCATGGGAGGATGACTGTGATGACCAACGGAAGGAATGGGAGACCAGCAATTTGATTTGGAGCTGTTCCGAGCTGAGCAGGCTGCTCTCTGGCTGCTCAGCTGTGTTGGTAGATACGTCTTGTGGGAGCACCCATTGGTCTGGCACTGCTTAGAATTCTGAAGCTACTGAATGCAGTAGTTAACAGGGCTGGGGAAGATGAAGGAGGAAGATTTTCTGTCTCTCTACTGTGATGAGGAATTCTGGCCAGTTCCTTTGGCTGCTTAGGGTGGTTCTTACCAGTCAGTTCTCCATTTCTGTTTTGAGCATGAACAAAGAGGAGCAGCAGAGCTGGGGAAGGATCTGAAGCATAAGTCTGAGGAGGAGCAGCTGGGGGGCTCAGTGTGGAGAAAAGAAGTCTTAGCGGGGACCTTCTCACTCCACAACTCCCTGACAGGAGGGTGCTGCCAGGTGGGGGTCAGCTCTGCTCCTAGGGAACAAGGGACAGGACAAGAAGAAATGGCCTCAGACTGTGCTGCGGAGTCTTAGATCAGATATTAAGGAAAACTTCTTTGCGGGAAGCGTGGTCAGGCATTGGAACAGGCTGCCCACTGTAGTGGTGGAGTCACTAAATCCATGGAGGGATGTGGCATTTGGGGACATGGTTTAGTGTTGGCCATGGCAGTGCTGGGTTGTAGTTGAACTAAATGGTCTTAGAGAGCTTTTCCAACCTAAATGATTCCATGATTCTAGTCGTATTTCTACTGCAGGAAAAAAATAGAACTTAAAATTGTACATTGTATTTTCTTCATGTCGTGAAGATCTTGAAATTGTCAGGTTATTCTCAAATGCCATTGTACCAGTCCTGCTCATCTGGGGTATTTACTGTTTTCTCTTGTGCTTCAGAGGAAATTCTGGGAGTTTTGGTTCCCCGCCTGACAGACCTCACCAAGTCAGACTGCATTTGGCAGAGGATATGCTGGCAGTTGGTGGAATGTGTGCCAGACCGCTGGATGGAAGCAGTGGTCCTTGGTTTTGTGCAGAGTGCACCTGGGTAAGAATTCTGCTTTCTCCCTGATCCACAGCAAAGGCAGGAATTGTCACAAATACTTGCAGAATGGGTCTCTGAAAGGTGCTGTGTTTGTGTAGGTGGTTTTTTGCACTGTCATTTCCTAAAAGACTCAAGGGATAAAGTAGTTGATTGTTGTCTCTTAGGGAGAACCTACACCATTTCTTAAGTCTCTTCATCATGACATGCAGTGGAAAAACAAGAAAAACAAGTGAAAGCATTCTTTGCCATTACTGGCTCACTGTCTGAGTTTAGAAGTATTCTACAGACTTAGTTGCAAATAGCTGCTCTCACATTTTCCTATGATTAGGAGCAGCATGACAGCAATAACATGGATTCCTGATGTTTTATTGTTGTCTTGTTAGGGCAGATGTCTTGTCCAGATTGCTGGGTAACCTGGTTGTGAAGAACAAGAAGGCTCAGTTTGTGGTCACACAGAAGATGCTGCTCTTGCAATATGGCCACACGGTGAGGACTCTGTGGGGAACAGTAGTGTAGTAGTGCCAGGTTTTCCCTGGTGCCAGTTTGGTTTTTAGCTGAGCTCTTACTCTGCCTGAGTAAGGTTTAACTCTTCATTCCAAAATGAGTCCCCAGTCTCCCCACATTTGTGCGGCTGTAACAAGAGTGGGAGCGGTGAACAGTAGCTTTGAAATCATGGGATTCATGTGCTCTCTCAGGGTTAATGGTGATTAGCGAAGTTACTGTACTCCTCTGGAACTAAAAGTTTCAGAATTCTGGGGAGCTGAAGGCATTAAATTATTTTAGAATCTGAAAGAGGAGATGGAAACAGCCGGGATCAACCCTCAGGAGTAAGAATTAGATTAAAGACGTGAGACAAGGACCGTTGGGTTTTTTCCTGTGCACCTAAGTTTGTTATGGGATGTTACGAACTGCACTGTGGCTTGTGATGCTGTTGTGAGAGATGTTCTTTAGACTTCATGGTAAAAGTCTTTAGACTTTGTTGGTAAAACACTGTACTCTATTTCTGTCATGGTTTTCCATGTATTTCATCAGCAACTGCATATGTGTGCTTGCTTGTTTTTTTAAATTTGTTTACTTTTCTGTCTCTGAATGTTGTCAGCCATTCCCTTAGAATTAAGTTTAATGTAGTAAATAAAAACACACACTTGTCATTGCTGGATGAGAGCTTTATGACCAGTTGAAGCAGTTGTGGTTTTCCTTGCAGACAGCCGTGCTGCAGAACCTCCTTGGCTACCTGTCCCTGGACAGCGTCCGGCGCACCTTGTTGCTCAGAGTAAGGCTCACTGAGTTGCTGATGAGGTATCTTATGGGGAACATTCTGCTCTGTGTCTGTCTGGGAGTGCACAGTTTTGGTTCTTCTCTCAGGCTTTCTGGTTGCTGTTCATGAGAGTGAGGGAAGCCCAGCTGTATCACAAGTGAGCTGTGATAAATGAACCAAAGCTTTCTGCACTGCTGGCATTAATTTTTCATATTTAATTGGTAAATTGTCTTCCAAGTAGCAAAAGGGTTGGGTTCTGACAGATGTCCCATGTCCTCTGTCCTTCTCAGCTTCCTCAGTAACCCTGTTTATGTGGCTGGGCACATGGCAACAAGGGATCAGATTGGTGGACAGTTGTCTGTTTACCAAATGGTTGATGTTTCAGAATCTCTCTCATGCACATTTTCCTCAGTGGGGATGGCAGATATTCTACCTCTCCAAGTCAGTAGTGTGATGAAACTTTTGTGAAATCTGTATATCTGGAAATCCCTACCATTTTGTCAAATTATTTTTTTCCCACTGTTTACATGTTCTAAAATGATCTGAAAGGACTGACAGTTATCTAAAATTGGACCAAACTCAGATAAAACCTTATAATATCATGCTGTTTTTTGATAATAATACATATTGCTTTGCATATAATGTTTATTAAGGAGAAATAAACACCACTTTTAAATTTGAAAACTCATTGTATTTAACAATATCTTAAATGAAAGTGCAGTTCTTGGGTGGTCAAACACAGTAGGTTTTGGGCCCTGAAATTCAAAATATGTATTTTTTTTCCCTCTTTGTAGGGAGAGTAAAAATGTGCTTCAGAAATTACCTCTGTATAGAAAAAATCCATTTCAGGCCAACCTGAGTTCTCTGGTGTAGGTGCTGCAGGAGCTGTTGGAGACCTGGAGCAGCAGCAGTGCTGTGAAACACTCCCCAGCTGAGCAGCAGCTGTACATTAGCAAGGCCATCCTCATCTGCCTCTCCCACCTGAAGGAGCCTGAAATTGCAAGCTGCAGACAAGGTGAGGCTATGTGAGAAGCAGGGCTTAGATTTGTTTAGCAGAGTGTCTTACTACGCATAGAAAAATATCTTGTTTTGATCTGTGGATAAGCGGAATTGTCCCATGTTCACCTTGGCAAATGGGGCAACCTGCTGGAGTCCTCTTTAGTATTGACATGATAGAATTCCAAGTGCATAACTTTAGGTTATGGAATTGAAGAAGGTCTGTCTTTGCCTTAAGATTCTTACCTGAGTTATGGTTTGAAAACACTGAAGTTTTCTCACAGGAAAACAAGGACTGACTCTGGGATTAGTGAGACGAATGGTGTGATTTGTGATTTATAGGCTTAACCTTGGAATACAGGTGCAGCTCCAGAGAGGCAGGGAGGGTAACTGGGGTTAAAAAGCTGTTAGATTGGTGTCTGACAGTCCATGGGCATTCCTCAGTGTGAAGTGAGGAGGTTAGTCACTGGCATGGACCTCCAGTTCTGTACTCACACAGTGCGTAGCACACTGGGATCCTGGCCTAATATATCTGTTTCTGTTGAAATAAAAAAAACAAATCTGTAAAATGTCTAGAATTACTTATGTGTGTGTGTGACTTATGGGGAATGTGAAGGTTCACTTCAAGACTTGCCCATCTGTTTCATTCCAGAATTAATTGTTCTTTAAGTGAATAAGAGATTTGATACGTATTGCCAGTTCTGTAGTTTTATAGTCAGTTTTTTGTCTGACAGCTGTTGGAGAGATAAGCATTCTGAGATGAAGGAGGTCAGTCAAACAGCAGTAAGCGTGCCTGGTGAAGTTGGCAACCAGTATTCCCTGAGGGCTGAGAAATACTTGTGTTATCTGCCTGTTTGAGCTTATCCAAAGATAGGCAAATGTCTGTCTCTATGTGATTGTTGTAGTGGTCAGAACTTGAAATGTCCTCAAAACATAACATTTACTTAAGTGACTCTGAAACACTCTAAAACCAAACTAAAGATTGGCTTGACTTACCATCCTTTTTTGTTTTAGTGAAAACCAAAATATTGCAAATTTAGAATATATTGTAATGTTTTGTTGACTTTGTAGCTCCATGGAAGGGTGTGGGTTTGCTGTGCTGGTGCTGAAGGGCACCACTGACTGCAGGAAGGGAAGCCACAGTTCAGGGACCCTTTCTATCCATTACTGTGTGCTGGGTGGGTAAAGCTGCCCTCCGGGAAGCACATAGAGATAGGTGTTTCTGACACTGTTTCAGAATTTCAGACATGCACTGTTTGCTGGTTGTTCGTTTCAGAGCTTCTGACAAGCATGATGGAGGGTGTGAAATGCCACTTGGAGAGCAGTCTGCCACAACTGCGGCGTCTGGGCATGGTGGTGGCAGAGAGCATCAGCTTGAGCATAAACACTGAGGGGCCTGTCCTGAAGTTTGAGGTGAAAGTTTCACTGAAACTTATGACTGGTGTGCTAGGCTTAGAGGAAGTAAAAGCTTTAAACCAGCTGATTCTGGGCATTATAGCACTTTTTTATCTGGAAATAAGGAGAGGCAGTCACACCTTCAAAAAGAGAGAATCTGTTTACAAAAAAAACAATTGTATGTGATGGTCAGGTGGCTGAGAGTTACCTCAGGAGTGCAATCTACTGGCAGAGGTTAGGCTAAACTTGGTAATTGAAGTTTATCTTACTGCATGAGGGAATCAGAATCTGATTCGTGGGAGTTGAGAGGGAGCTTCAAACCTAAAGCAGTGGTGAACATTCAGTCCCTAACATGGTGGGAAGACCTGTTCTGAGCTGGGATTTTCAAGACTGACATGGAGATATTTGCTCTGCTCTTTCCAGTAGAATTTGTGTGACTTATCTGAATAAATCACATTAATTCTGTAAAAGCCTGCCACATTCCTCCTGTCACATTGCCATTTATTAAATGTTTGAAATATGGAAATAACATTCAGGCAAGGTGTCATCAGGTACTACTCTTAAATATAAGGACAAAGATTACAGCTGCCTGCTGTAATATTTGTCAGCACAGGGATTGAAACAGGATTGCTGAGGGTTCATCTGCTAATGATTTAGTCCATGTGCACTACAGTGGTGAATGTTGAATGCTGGGCACATTTGCAGTAAGAGTAAGTAACAGAGTGCAGCAACAGTTATTCTGAATGTCTAGTATGAAGAGGACGATGAAACAAGAGAATTGAAGTCCCTTCTGGTGCAGACTCCATCATTCTGTGTTGTCCCCAGCCTTCCAGATGATGAGTAAGTTGTTGCTACTGTTCATGATATCTTTTTGCCCTTCCATGCTTTTCCGCATTACACACAAGAAGTATGTACAGTATTCAAGACTTTTTTATGTGTTCTTAAGCATCATAATGCACCAGCTTCTTACATTCATAATTCAGTTGCTAGTGTGTATTAAAATTGCCTGTTGATAGCTGCATGTGGTGAAATTGTGGTGTAGGGGTCTTGTGTGCCCTTTGGTACAATCAAATGGACATTTCTGTTTGCTTCTTGGAGATCTGGTATTTGTGTTGTATGCCCCCAACCCATTCACCCGTGACTAAAATCTACTGCATCTGTCACTCTAAAGACTGGCTCTTCAGTGCTCTTAACTTCCAGAGCATCTGCTGGGGCTCTTTGGGGCACTTTTTGATCAGCAGAGGAGTGAAGCACTTTATGTTATTAGCAAATGAAGCTGTCCAGCTCTCCAGGGAAGTACAAAAGATTCGTTGCTCCCATTTTAGGCACATGATCAGCATAGACAGCTGTTAGAGACTGGTTTTGAGAATCAGAGAGATGAAAGGACAATGCCAAAGTCCACTGAAGTAGGTTGAGACAGAAAAAATATGCTCAATTATTGTATTCATCCTATGCAAGACCTAGAAATTGTTAAAAATGGGGTTTTTTTCCATTTTGAAGAGTCATTGAATGGTTTGGGTTGGAAGAGACCTTAAAGTCCATTCTGTTCCACACCCTGCCATGGACAGGGACACCTATTAAGACCAGATTGCTCCCAGCCCTGTCCAGCCTGGCCTTGAACACTTCCAGGGATCCAGGGGCAGCCACAGCTTCTCTGGGCACCCTGTGCCAGGGCCTGCCCAACATCATAGGGAAGAATTTCTTCCTAATATCCAATCTAAACTTAGTTTCATTCACAGTTTCAAATCTGGTGCCATTCAGTGTGATCTGGCTATTGGAGTTTTTCCTTAGCAGTCCCAGGTATTGTGCAGGGGAACACAACAAACTAGCCAGTTTAATTTTTTTAATCCATTGCTCTTCTTTTAGAAGATTCTGCTTCTTTTCTCCCCTTACTCCGTTCTCCTTCCCAGTACTTTGTTCTTTGTGTCAGCCAAGCTGGGTGTGAAACTGCAGCAGGAATAATTATCTGCTGTTCTGTTTAGGCAGCAAGGGTTGGTAGGGTGGGTAGTTTCTTCCTTGTAAGAACTATTACTGTAGTCATTTTAAAATTTCTTGTTCCTCACAGCAGGAGTGAGAAAGCAGGTGCTGCGCTGCCGCTGGTACCAGAGAGTAATGAGAAATCCTCTACTGCAGCCCCTGTGATGCCAGATGAGGAGTCAGATGCTGAACTTGACAGGTATGGGGCAAGAAACAGGGAGGAAATGGAAAATAAATGGCAGATGTGGGGGAAAAGGATCTGTCAGTACCTGCATTTCTTGGCAATTGTTGTGATTTCTTTTTCAGCTGAGCGGTTTGCAGCAGAGCAGGGCTTTGTGTAGGAAATTGCATAGTCAATAAATTAGGCAAGGCCTGTGTTGCGGTGTGCAACCGCTGTGTTTGTACTGTTTGACTTAGATATATATTTCCTGGAAATTGTGGATGTATTTACCCATTTTAATAGTGGACCACTTTATTCTGTCACCATATGAAGAAATATATCTATATATATATGTTAATATGTATGTGTGTATATATATATATAAATCTATAATGAAATCTCAAGAGTCAGTTTCTAGTCTCTTGGTCATCTGTATCCTGTACTTGACCAGGACATCCAGTTCCAGTTCTGATCACAGAACTGCTCTTTCCCTAGGGCTCCCAAGGATCCCTCTCAGGCCAGGCTCCAGCAGTGCTGCTGAGTGATACAGGAGTGATGTGGTTACGACAGTGTATGCACTGGTTCTTTCTCTGTGGGTGGCTATCTGGGTAAAGTAAGAACATCTGCACCCCATAAACTAACCCCTACCTTTAATTGTTTTACAGTGATGATGACCTCATCCCTTACGACATGTCTGAGGATAAAGAGCTAAAAATTAAGGCTCCTGTGTATATCCGAGACTGTATTGAAGGTAGGAGATTTTGGGCTGAGTCTTCATCTGTTTCTTACTGAATTTGGGAGAGTGAACTCTTGCATAGGTGTATTTTTTCTGATCTAATTTGAAGAGGCTATAGAATTTTGGAGTAATTTCAGTTTATTTCCTAGTGCTGGTCATGCTGAGTGTCTGTACCAAGACAAATGGTTGTCAGAAGGAAGTTTGGGTATATACCCATATATAGCCATTCTGTTAATAACTTTTGTTTGTCCTTTGATTTTAGTTCTGACTGGATCAAGATCTGAAGATGTGGACAAATGGGAAGCTACAATCAAGGCACTTGAGAGCTTGGTTCGGAGGAATCCAGCAGCAACAAGAGAGGTGAAGTAATATGAACTGGGTTACAAGAGGGCTGTATTGCCAGAAGGCCTATCCTTTTGCTGTCATGGGGAGACTAAACGTGCCAGTGGAGCAGAAGGCCTGGCTAATGTGTAACTGGGTTAAAGATACACATTCACAAGCTTTCAACTTGGAAGCAGAAGGAAATAGTTGCCTTGAAGGTAAAGCAATAGAGCACAGGGGAACAGAGAAGTAGCAAAAGTGCTGGCAGCACCCTGCCATCTCCAGTGCTCAAAATAAAACTTTCTACAAGTAGTGCTTGCTAGTGTGAGGAAGCTTCATGCTTTGTGCTGGGCAGGAAAAACACTAAAAAATGAGACTACAGAGCAGCCATTTTTGATTTTGAATTGAAATTAAATTTAATTGTTATTCCACAACAAAAACGGAGGCAAAATCAAATGCACTTTCATATTTGTTTGTACAAGCATAATGTCTTGTGGAGGGAGTAACTGGATTGTACTGGTCAAGATAAAAAGCTCAGGGCAGAGGAACCTGGGGCAAGGTCACTGCTTGCCACTACCTGCTAGTGAACATTTGCAAGTGTTGGAGACACCAGCTGAGCAAAAGAAGGGCTGTGCTGCTGTACCCTTTAACTCATCCCTTACAGTGACTTCTCATTCAGTGTCATGATGCTACTACTTCTCTGAAACAGTCCAGTGAAATATGGACAGAGAATTGGCAGGTGGGGAATCTGTTCCGGGTTTTGGGAAATAAGTCTGATGGCATCTGGCTTAATGTGTTTTCTTTCCCTCGTAAGGAATGGACATGTTGCCTAAACAAAAGACCTCCTTGTCTTTGTTTGACCATTAGAAGTGGTCCATAATTCCTATGAGGAAAAAACCCAAACACCATCAGGGTTTTGATTCTTTTTTTCACACTTTGAGCAGGTTAGTGTGGAGCTGGCAAAAATATTATTGCATCTGGAGGAGAAGAGCTGCATTGAAGGCTTTGTGGCACTCCGTCAAAGAGCTCAAGTAGCTGTTTTAACCACAGACCCAATACCTGTGAGTTCCTCCTACTATTTTCCTTTTTCCAGTTGAAGCACAGGCAAAAATTGAAGCAGCTGAAGTCTCTTTCTCATTTGATAGAGGAAGCTGTTTGTGTGGTAGAACAGGTAGTTCGGGTCTAACAATATTTATGGTCCTGAAGAATCTGCAAGGAATGTCTGAACCAGGGGGAAAAAGAGCACCCTGTCAAACAGAGGAAATGTTTGGAGGCTGTTGGTTCGTGTGAGTGTACCTGACAAGGCACATCAGATAAGAACTTGTTGTACTGAAGGGTTTCTCATAAAGGGAGGCTGAGGCACAGAGGGCTTCTGCAGAGAAAGACCTGACTGGTGACTGTAATGAGGGAATCACAGACTGGTTTGGGTGGGAAAGGATCTTTAAAGCCCATCTCATTCCAACCCCCTGACATGCCAGGGACACCTTCTACTGTCCCACGTTGTTCCAAGCCCTGTCCAGTCTGGCCTTGGACACTTCCAGGGATCCAGGGGCAGCCACAGCTTCTCTGAGCACCCTGTGCCAGGGCCTCAGCACCATCACAGGGAAAAATTCCTTCCTAATATCCCATCTAGATCTATTCTCTGCCAGTTTAACATCTTTATCTTTCAGGCTAGCCAGGCCCCAGTAAAAAGCTCCATCCATCTTTCCTGTAGTGTTCTTTAAGTACTGAAAGGCCACAGTGAAGTCTCCTAGCTGCTGTGGTGGTTGTTTGAGTACCTCTGCATAGGAGGGAGACAAGAATGATGCAGTCTTATCTGTCATTTAGATTTTTTGGGAGAATCTAGAAGTGGAAGTGGCTGAATTTCCCATTTACACTGTGTGTTTCTTCTCTTCTCTTGGAGGCTTGCTGTTACTTAACAGGAAGCAGAACCTATGAAATTAAATGCTTTTAGAGTTAATGGGAAGGCTGTTTCTACCATGGGTCTGTGTTCATTGTACCCTGCTTTTTCTGTACAGGTTGCAGAGTACTTGACATCCCAGTTCTACTCTCTGAACTACAGTCTGCGTCAGCGCATGGACATCCTTGATGTGAGTGCTCTCACTTCCCACATTCCTTCTGTCTGCTGTGCCAGTGCTGAGGTGTAATGGATGTACCTTTTATTCCTCATGGGAGGAGGCAGAGGCATGGGAATCTCTTACATTACTGTTTGTGTCTGGCATTCCCCTCTTGTTCCTAACCCTGCTACACTCCATCACACAGGGATCTGTCCCCACAGAATGCAGAGCATGTGTTGGACATTTGCCTGGGAGAAGCCACTGTTTGCTTTCACATCATCGGTGTTTTATCTTCCCTTTCTGGAGGACAGTGATCTGTCTGTGACTGCTTCCACACTTGAGTCTGAAGGAGGAGCCACCACTCTGTTTCAGGGCTAAGTGACCAAGTGCTTGGTCAGTAGCTCAGAGCCAGGTGGCTGTTGGAGGTCAATTTCCTACTGTTCTTCACTCTAAAACTGTTGTGCCTTTCTGCCTTGTTGCTCCTGTCAGTTTGGATGCAGGTAACGCTTTTGTTGTTCCCTAGGAATTACCCATTTTTAAAGGAACCTCTCTCTGTTTTATCTAGGTATTGGTTTTGGCAGCTCAGGAACTGTCCTGTCCCAAATTCCATGGGAAGACTACACATTCTGATGTCCAAAAGCCTTGTATCCAGCTCCCTCCAGCAAGTGACAGCTCTAAGGGCTGGAGAAGAATTGTTGATGAGAGGATCAAAAGCAAGACTCGCAGATTTGATAGGGTGAGGCCAGAGGCAAACTAATGTAAAATCCACCAGAAATAGGGACACTTGGAATTAATGTAAGCTCTGTCTGGAAAGAGAAAAATACCTATGAAAGTGGACCTAATCCAAAGGAAAGTTTGGATTTCCCTTCTCCAGCAGGGAGAGGAAGATAAACCTGAAAATCCTTACCTGGCTTTGAGGGATAATTGTTCTGTGCTTGTTCTGAGCTTGTGTGGCCACTGCAGGGAGCTGTGACTTCACCTCGCAATCCCAGGGCCTCTGTCAGACTAGCTGCCTCTGGACTACACTGTCACAACCTTCCTATTTTCCAGAGAGATAAATTGATGTCAGTTTCCTAGTTTCCAGAATTCCCCTGTGGTTCAGCCTGAAGAGTTTGCCTTCCAAAACTCCTTTATCCCTCCTATATTCTTGTTCCTTATATCTGACTGAGCAGTACTGAGGCATATTGTATTGAAATGTTTAGATGTGGAGAAGATCCGAAGTGGGAAGTGAGCAATCCAGTCAGAAACTGGTAGCCATAGGTGTACAAGCAGTAGTTGACGATGGGCTGGCTGCAAGGAATCTGTAGTTTTGACAGTGTCCAGTGAAGTGGAAGAGCTGGATACTGTATCTTGTGCCTAGACTTCATTTTTCTCTTGGACAGGGTCAGTCTCGTGTGGAACTGGCTTCCCACCCAAACAAGTTCAGTTCTGTTGCTGGGTATTTCTTTTTCCCGTTGATTCAGCACTTTGACAGGTGAGTGTGAACACCTCAGGATGTGGGATGTGGACATGGCCACTTCCCGAGTGAAACTTTCTGCTTGTCCTGCTTGCCTCAAAGCAGCAGGCTACAGCTGAGGAGCTGTGCAGGAGCCCAGTGACACCACACTGACACTTGTGTCTTTCACAAAGCTTGGGGAGGAGAGGGTTGTGGTCTTTTGGACTTAACCCTTTGAAGTCTTGTGGGGCAGGAGTATGTAGGACCTTGCAGAAGTGAAGATCCATCTGCAGGTACACAGACAAGTAATTCTGGCAGTACCACACCAGTTGTCTTGGCTGAGCCTCTACTGTGGGAGGCTCAGAGCTCAGAACCACAGAGCTCAGACTGCAATCTTGAACCAAAGTTAGCTCTGTCTCTGCTTTGGCCTATCACCTGCACTGGGCTTTGAGGCCACAGTATAGGACACAGGACATAGTTTATTGTCAGTCCCTTAAGTCTTTGTGAACCTAAGGAAGGCTGAGTAATCAGTTCCATGATAACCATTATTGTAATACCAGTTGTAATAGTATGGCAGTGGGGGCAGCTTTTGCCTATAGGTCTTTACAGGTAAAGCCTGTTGGTAGAATGTGTGATATCTGCTGTACAAGTAGAGGATATTGCTCTGCGGGATACTGGTCTAGGAGAAAAGACGAGAGCAAACAGCTCTGATTTCTTTTAACCTGGTAGTGCCTGAATAATGACTGTTGTTGTAGGGGTTCAGGCTTCTGGGGACAATTCCCCCTGCATAACCCTCCTGACTGTTCCAAAGAGGCACTGATCATCCTTCTCATTGCTACACAACTCTGTGTCTTGTACTTGCAGGCCTTTAACAACATTTGATCTTCTGGGAGAAGATCACTTAGTCCTTGGAAGACTGGTTCACACTTTAGCAGTTCTGATGTACTTGGCTGTCAACACTGTGGTAAGGAAGGGCAGAGGGCAGGGGTGACTTCCAGTCTGGGAACTTGAGGTGTCTTCTGGGCTTCAGGGCTTGCTGCACTGAGACTGGCAGGAGGTTGGAGTTGAGTGGGCTGAGAAGTTGTGAAGTGGGCTGGGAAGAAATAGTTGGAAAGTAGACATGGGATTCAAGCCATCCCTGCACTGTCTTTTGCTTTGTGTCGACTTCTTGGGGGGATTTGGCACATTATTTCACTTTACTGCCAAAGTTTCCACATCTGTAAAATAAATTCAGTTGTATCTGATCTTAATAAAACCTTTGTTCAAGCATTTGGACAACACTCCCAGGCTCGTGATGGGATTGTTGGGGTGTCCTGTGCAGGGCAGGAGTTGGGTTCCTTCCAGCTCAGGACATGCTGTGATTCCATGAGCAGTATGTCTTGAGGCCCAGCTCTACAGGGCAGTGTGGATGGTGTTCAGTGCTGCTGTCACAATCCTCTTTTGCAGGCAGTGACAGCAATGGGAAAGGCACTGCTGGAATTCGTTTGGGCACTGCGTTTCCACACAGACTCGTGAGTTACTGTAGTTGTATGTTCTCATTTTTAAAGATCAGCTGTGAGCCAGCCTCCAGTCATGGTTTGTCTTTGTCCAAGATGAGCATCTGGCTCAGAGTGTCAGTGACTTAATGCATTTACTTTGTGCTCTCCTCCAGCTGTGTGTTCTTATGACTGTGTTTAATGTCAGCCCAACATGTGAACTTCGCTGGTGTCTTCTGGTGTGGCAGTACAGCCATTACCTATAGAAAGGTTAACAAATTTCCTAACTACCTGTCCACATGATAGTTTCATCTGTGTTTACCCAGGGAGCTCAGAAAACTTTAGATTCCATTCCAGCATTCAGTCTTGGAAAGGAATTAAGAGATGTAGCCAAAAAGTCTGTAAACATCCAATTTCTGTTTTGCTCTCAAATGTGTCCAGGACCCTGAATTGTGCTAGGCTCCTGTGCACAGCAGGGACTCTGTATGTGAGACACACTGCAAAATTACACCCCGAAGCAGCAGGAATATGGCAAAAGTTGTCATGCCATTTGAAACTGGAGAGCCCCTGAGATGAGGAAATCAATGCAGAGCATAAATTTACATGACCAGTTCAGTCCTTGTCCACAGGTATGTGCGCCAGGGCCTTTTGTCCTGTATCTCCTCCCTGCTACTCAGTGTCCCTACAGAACGGATGCTGGCAGACATGACAGAAGAGCTGTTGGAGACTCAGTCCTGGCTGGGAGGTAAGACCTGGTGGGGTACAGCAGTGCTTTTCTGGTTAGTGATGTGGTCTTTGTGCAGTGTCTCTTTAACTGTGATGGCAGCAGTGATGTCCTGGCATTGTACATCAGAGATCTGCATGATCAGGAAGTAGAGCACCACATGTGCTGTAGGGATGCAGCACTGGGGTACCTGAGGCATAAGCCAAGAAGTGGGTATGGCATTACAAACTGTGACTGTCTTCACAGGCCACCCAGAAAAATCCCCAAGGATAGTGTGTGCCCCCTTTCTCCATCTAAGCAGCCAACCACCCACGTCAGGAAGCTGCAGGACGTGTTGTCACGTTGCCTGTTACACCCAGGCAGTGACTTCGGCCAGCAGGAGCACACAAAGCTTGTACAGCCTGTTTACACCGTGCACTCACAAGGGGGGTGTTAGAGCTGAAAACGGGAGGAAGAGGAGCATGGCCTAGTCTCTAGTTTCCTATTATTGATGCAAAGAAAAAGCTACAAAAGACAGCAAATTACTTTAAATGCTGTACCAAACACACCTTACACCAACACAAACTGTGTCTGTAGGTTCTGGCAGGCTGGAGCTGCACAGATCAGTGCTCAGGTACTGCAGTGAGCTGGAGTGAAAAGAGCAACTAATGTTGAAGCCTTCACTGTGTTGTGAGGGTGATTCTTGTGACTCCCTGGTCTGGTTTCCTTCACCATTCTCACTTTTGGTGAGTTGCTTCCCACAAGGAGCAAGCAGGAAGCAACACTGACCCAGCTGGCCTCTGATCCTGGCAGGTTGGGTTGCTCTGTGCCCTTTGAACGGAAGAGAGCTGCCATGTGGGGCTGAAGACTTCACTTTTCTCATGACACTGTGTACTCTCAGGAGTCTGCTTGTCTCTGCATTTAACACTGCTGTTACCAAGCGAAGCCTTTCAAGAATGTATTTCCAGCATGAGGGTTTGCATAGTCTGTTTTCAGTGAGTTATTATGGGGAGGAGGAGGAGGATGACCAAGATAGTAGCAATTTTTCATGCTTGTAGGTAGTGTAATAGACCTGTCTTTTCATCTGGTGCTTTTGCATGAAAGCTGCATGGTTATTCCTGGTGGGAATGAGAGCAGGGTAAGATAACTGTTGTGGGTATACCAGAGAAAGGAAAACTGCTGTAAGAGTTGTTCAGAAGCCTTAAAGAATTCAGCTTCACATATGGTCAGGTGCAATTTAAGTGCAATTTAAAGGGCTTCTAGAGCTGCTTCCTGAAACCCACCAGCTTCTTGGGCTGTGCCTTTGCTATTTATTGTAAGGCTGTTGGGGAAACAGTTGCACAGGGAGGTACAGGGCCCTCCCTGCTGCTCTAGGAGATCAAGTCTGGCACTAGAGACCTGCTTCTGTGACTGAATCACAGGTCTGTGCTCATGGACTTAGCTGTTGCTTCAAGGCTCTTCCAGACAAGATTTGTAAGAGGAGTCACATATTAGCTGTGTTGTAGCTGGGAATGACAAACTGTCCTGCATGGCAGTCCTGACTACTATGCCTTTTAGCTGCTTTGGGTTTTAGCTTAAAGCATCTGTGTTTCTCCTGCCATGGCCAAAGCACAATGATGAACAGTGGGATAGGAAATGTTACACATTATGTGCTTAGTAGAAATCCACAGACTTCTTTCAGTTTGTTGTTACATCTGGACCTCTGCAAACTGCTGCAGCGTGTCCTATGACTGACTGTTGGCCCTTCAACCTGTTGGCTGCAGACCTGGCCCTGTCTGCTTACTGGATGCTTTGGGACTTACCAGCTGCAGAGAGAGAGGAGAATCCACTTTGGACTTGTCCATCATTACCCTTAGTTGCCCTGCTGGACTTGCCAGTGAGTAGCCTGATCCTTCCTGGAGGAGGGAGGGAATATCTAAATGCTTCTAGGAAATGCCCTAGGAAAGAGCATTCCCTGAGGAACCCTTTGATTCCTTAGCAGCTGCCTTTGAGGGAATTCCCCACCCCTTGCAAGTGCTCTGCAGCTATGTCATGGGTAAGTGAGGTTTATGTCAGGACCAACAGGACACTCTGTGTGCCACACAGGTGCCTTGTGCCTCCCATGCAGTGCCAGCAGTGCCAGGTCCATACTGGTGGAACAGAAACAGCACCAATAGTACTCTGAGCTTTTGAGCTTGTTCCAATCTGCCTTGTAACCTTCCTTTTTGTCTTCTGCAGAGGGAGTATGGAAGCACCAGGGTGCAGCTCTCTCTGGATTATAAATAGCTGTGCTCCAGTGACATGAGTCATGTGTTTGGGCTGACAGTGCTGGGCTCCCAGCACACTACTCGTGCGTACAGGATATCCTCACACAGGCTCCCTGCTCTTCCAGGCTCCCCTGCTCAGACATCCTGCATGCATCCTGGTTGTTACTTTGCAGGCTCATTAAGGGCCCCTGGAATAACAGCTGCTGGGAACAGCCTCACACTGCCCTTACGTGCTGTGGGAAATGTGGAACCCGTTGATCAGAAGATTGGTTTCTCAGAGTGGAGAATATGCTGAAGCTTGGGGCCTGTCTCTTTCTTTCCCCGTTGGCATCATGACCCCAAATTCAGGAAGGAGCACTGACCATTTTAGATTGCAAGAATGGCAGAGTGGAGACTTCAGACTGTGAAGAAAGTGGATTTCTAGCTACAGACTTCACTCATGCTTGTAGCTCAGCTGTATAAAGCTTTTGTGTAGCTCAGGGTGACAAGTACAAATTCTGGCATGGAGATTATCCCATGGGATCCAAGGTCAGACAGTTTCTACAGTGTTTCAGTCCAACTGACTGTTTCTCCTAAAAAACTGGAGCACTACCCCATGTGACAGTCAGGGCTTGGCTGAACTCATGCTGCTTTACATGATCAAGTTTGTGCATCTCTGCCTTCTGGCCTAATGCAGTTCCTGCAAGTCCTGATGTCCAGTCCAGCCGAAGGTGCAAATGCTGTTGTTTAGTTCTGTGATTGTCAGTAAAATAGTGAGAAGTGTTAAGGGCACTTTTTCCCATTCCCCAATTAACAGTGGCTGCTTCTTTTGTAGATGTGATGGAGAAAGACCCTGATGAAGACTGCAGAAGGCTGGCCCTGCAAAACTTGCTGCTAATGGAGAACCTGAAAAAGAAACTTGAAGCTGTTCCTTCCTAGCTGAAGGGTAACAGAAATGACCTTTACCTTGTGCTCTTGCCAGCTGGATGTATTTGGGCACTGCTGGGGCCTTTTCAGCAGTCACCTGGCTGGAGGAGAGGAAGAAGGGGGAAGGGTGCTGAGCTGTAAGCCAGCGAGCTTGACTTGACATCTGGACTTTGTAGTGGAGGCCAATTGAGTGAGCTCTGGGTATCCGGTACAGCGTGTACAGATGCAGGAAGGTAGGCAAGCGCTGCCATCCTCCCGCGCCCCCAGCCCCCACCCAGCTATTTATAACTTTGGCAAGTCTGAGCACTCAGCTAAAAATACAGGGAAGATCTCACAGAGCTTCTTGTCAGAAAAACAGGAGGGCTGGGGAGGGCCCCTTGCCACTATGACCTGCCCCTTATGAAGGCTCCCACATCCCTGAGCAGCTGGAGTTCGGGGGACGAGCTGTTGGTCTCTGCTGGAAGGGGTGGAAGGAATGGCACTACTGATGGGATGCAAGCACTGGATAACTACACTGAAGTGCTGAAAGTGTGCCAGACTTTAACAGCCTGAGCTAGAACTGGGCTGTGGTTAGGAAGGAATAGGACAGGGATTTCTTTTTGCATTATCTTAGTACAGAAGTAAGTTTCTACTAAAGAATAAAAAATGCTCAGATTTTGACCTTAAAATCTCCCCAAACCTTCTTCCCTGAAAGCAATTTAAAAACTTCATGTTCACCCCATGTTTTGAAGCAAGTCACAAAACATGAAAAAGAAAAATCATTCTAAGTGTAAGGGCTAGTTGGTAAGAAAGGTGAGTATCCTGCTACCTACTCCTTGGCAGGGCACGGTGACAGGCAGAGAGGTGAGCAGAACCTTGGTTCTTACATTAAGCTTTACTTCTCTCAGTCGTGCTTGTGCCAGGGAAGAAACTGACCTCCAAAAATCTGACTAGTACAGAGTGGTTTGATGTAACTGCAAGAGAAGGAGCTTCAAAGTAAGACAGAAGCTTCACTCGCTCAGAGTGACCCAGCTTGAGCAGTGATTGGACTAGGGGGCATCCAGGATCCCTTCCAACCCAGGCATTCTGTGACTCTGAGGTTTACCCCAGATGTCTGTAAGGAGTTGCTCTACCCCACATGACCCTCTGATTTATTTAAACACAGAAGCTTTTGTTGGGGAAACTCTGCCTTCAGCCAGCAGGAGTGGGTAGTTTGACTTTTAACCAAGCTCCTATACAAATGGGATGGGAATTGTTTTCAGAAGGTCTCACTTCTAAGGAATCACAGATCTGCACCTTAGCAGATCACAGTTGAAAGGCAACTCACAGTTCCCACCTCAGTTATTCAGCTCTTCTGTACTGAGAAAAAGTCAAGTTACAATATGCAGTTCTTACTGGGTTTTTTCTGCCTCAAATTTATTAAAATACTAAAACCAGCTTTCTAACAGGATGTGAATTCTAACATGTAAATTGCTGTATGCTGTGCTTGAGAGAACATATTAACTCTAATACTGTTGCTTGTACAGTCAAGCAGGAAAAATAAATTTCTTGGTAATCACCAAAAAGCTGTGTGGGAACAGCATGTGACTGATCTGGGCCCCCTAATGAGGATGGAATAAATGAGCTGATAATAAAGTCAGCTTTGCATTTGGTAAATTATCATTGTCAGGGGTCCTCCACTTCATCAGCCACTTCTTCCTCCTCCCTGTTGTCCATGCTGCCATGGCCAGAGTGTGCTGGGGCCAGGGCTTGGCTCATGGGAACACCAGCTCCTCGGTGCACAGCCTCCATGGTCTGTGGGGACACATAGTAGCTCAGGTTCGAGGCTGGAATTCTTTTCTGCATCTCTTCCAGGTAGCGATAAGCCTAAAGGAATGCAGAGATCACTGTCAGAGGGAGCACTGCTGCAGGGGCCCCAGTAAACCATTTATTGTACTTTGCACATTAAAAGTGAAGTTCATCAGCACAGCTGGAGGAACTCGCACATGGCACCCTCGTGTTTCATTGGAGCAGCAGGCACTGGACCTGTTCAGGGGGTGTGTGGCACATCTGCCCTGAAGGACAGATTCACTGTTTCTTCAAATAACTTGCCATTTTACAGTTTTCTTCTCTGGCAAGGTAGCAAATACAGTGTGTGGTGGCATTGCTGAGGCACACACCCCCAGACTTACCCTCTATTCTCATTGAATTACTGGGAATGGTTAAGAATCTACCAGCATTTACACTCTGTGTCCTGTATGCTTTCCTTTTCTCTTCTCCCATAGAATGAAAAATAGAGGTAAAGTTCCTGAGCTGTGCCTCACCCTGCTGCGCATTTAGGCTTCTACCATGGAACATCTTCCTGTGTGAGAGCCACGCTCCACCACGCTGCACAGGTGGACAATATGGCTTCTGTAGGTTAGAAGAATTAAGACTTTACTTACTGTATGGAATTCCTCCACTTGTGCATAATGCTGAACCAAAAATCCCAGGACATCGCCATGCCGGATAGCATTGTCAAAGTCCTGTTCAGCCAGCAGCAGTTCACACTGCCTGACTGCTTCTTCAGTGTCTTCAGGGTAAATTCTAGGAAAGGGAAAAAAGAAGTGTCACAGCCCAGGGAGAGCATTCAGCTTATCCAGCCAAAGGTAGGGAAGAGTTTTTACTGCATTAGGTTTCATGACAGAAGCCCAAACAAAACCCAGAAACCCCCGCCTTGTCCTGGGGCTGATTGGCCAGTGTGGGCAGCAAGGCAGGTGGAGATTCTGCTGCACCCTGCTCAGATGATGCCCCCCCTGCAGAGTTTCCTCCAGCCTTGGGGTCCCAGCATAGGCAGGATATGGAATTGTTGGAGCAAGTCCAGAGGAGGCCATGAAGGAGTTCCAAGGGCTGGAGCCCCTCTGGACCCAAGCTGGGAGAGCTGGGGATGTTCATCTGGAGAGAAGGCTCCATCGAGACCTTAGAGCCTCTTCCAGGGCCTAAAGGGGCTCCAGGGGGAGCTGGAGAGGGACTGGGGACAAGGGTCCTGAGGGACAGAACAAGGGGGAATGGCTTCCCACTGCCAGAGGGCAGGGTTAGATGGAATATTGGGAAGGAATTGTTCCCTGGGAGGGGTGGGGAAGCCCTGGCACAGGGTGCCCAGAGAAGCTGTGGCTGCCCCATCCCCGGAAGTTTCAAGGCCAGGTTGGAGGCTTAGAAGAACATGGGGTAGCGGAAGGTGTTCCAGCCTACAGCAGGCTTTTGGAACAAGATGGTCTTTAAAGTCCCTTCCCACCCAAACCAATCAGTGATTCTGTGATTTTATGATAATCACCTTTCTGGCTTCACCTCCCTTGGTCTATATCCTTCTCTTTCAGGTTACCTTTCCATCTTTACTGCAACATTTTAAATGCACTTCTAAAAATCACATTATGATTTCCCTGCTAGAAAAATCTATCAGCAGCTTTATTTTTTGCAGCAAGCTGCAAATTATTTATTAAACTTTAGGTGCTCTTACAACTTCTATTCTGGTATGATATTTCTGTCACTTAGTTTCTGTGCTATCCATGCTGCAGCTCACCTCTGAGCATGGATGAACCGCTTCATCAGACTCATCCTGCTCTGCAGGTCAACAAGTTTGCTTTCCTGTTCCACAGGGCTTCTGGCCTTAGCTTTGGAAAGGCACTTGTATGCTTCTGCCAGTGCTCTGTGGGCTTTTTCATAGTTCTGATACTCATCGATTTCTACCTGCAAGAGGAGAAAGGAGATGGGGTTGCTCCAGAGCCAATAAACCAAACACCTTCAGCAGTCGCAGAAAGGGCAGTACCTGAGCACATGCATCATAGAAACCTGCCAGGAGGTCAAGGGCCCCTCCTTTGGTGTAGAAGCTGATGATATTCGCAATAATCTTTGCGTCCTTACGCCAATCCAGTGACTGCAGGTAGTTGGCTGCCATGATATAAATTTCTCTCTGTCTGGAAACTCCCGCAAAGAAGATAATTTTCTCAGTATCTCCAGATTTCAGCAATGCCCTCATAGCCTGGCAAGGGAAAGATTGGCACAGAGGGAGAGAGGGAAAATATTGTGAATGCAAAAACCCCATCAAGATGGCTCAGAAGTTTCATCTGGGTAGCTACTGTAGGAAGTCTGCTTCAAGGTTTACTTTTCAAAACACCCTTGTTTTGAGGCTATCCAGGCTGACCTTTAACTTGTTTCCTGCTTGTGTGTATTTCTTGGTGGCAATGTGATAGTTGCCTTGTCTCATGCAGCAGTCGGCAATTTGCTCCAGCAGCTCCCTCCGGGACTCCTCAGAGAGATCCTGGGATTCCTTGGAGACTGTCATCTTCTCGGCCAGCTCCTCGGTGATGGTTAGGTTCTGCTCCAGGCAGAGCTGCAGAGCTTCGTGGTACTGATGGGAGCAAGAGAGCAATTAGATTTTGCAAACACTACCATGATACCTCATGTTTGCTTGTGGCGTAACCTACAGACATCAGCTAGAAACACAAGAAGCTGAGGATGCTCTGTCTGGAACATTGGGCTGCAGTTACGTGTCTCAACATAAGCCCTGTTCAGGCACACACTGTCCCATTTGTTTCCTAAGAAGAACATGTTTGTTCTTCCATGACAACATTGCTCTCACACAAGTGTGCCACTAAAGATTCAGCCATTTTGACTCTGAACATGAGATTTTCAGAGACATACAAGTCAGGTTTGTTAGGCATGATCAATAGTAACATTTTCAGCAAATACAAATAAATTGAAAGATTTTGTTAAATGTGTTGGTACTTCTCGTACAGGAACAAATTCTGAGTAGGCTATACAAAAGCTTGTAGTCCAGAAAAGGGCTATGGTACCCTTGCAAAGTGTAGAAGAAAGCCAGCCATAGGAGCTTGTTAAAGAGGAGTGAGCACAGACTGGTCTGGTGCCCAGCATTTTGGTAAGGCTGAGCTTCCAGTGCCTCTGAATCACTGGCTTAGGAGGAATCTTGAAACTTTACAAGTGTGTCTTGTATCTGTTTATCTGCACAGATGAATGGCTGTGTGCAGGTACACACCTGTTGTGCTCCTCTACCTGTGCAGAGGGGACCAGAGGGCTCAGCTCACCTTCTTGGCTGTGAGCAGCAGCTCCATTGCCTTCTCATACTGAGCATGTTCAATGAAGAACCCGGAGCAGCGGGCGAGCAGGGCTGGGTCAGATTTCTCATCCAGGTCCTCAGCAATGAGCTGGAGGGCCCCGAACTGCTGCGTGGCAAAGGCCAGCTCCAGGGCTTTGGAGAAGTGTCCTGCCTGCAAAATTAGGAATGAGGCTTCAAAGACTAGAATGAGCACTACAGAGC